TCTGTTCATGGTTCTCTATATATGTTTTGTCTCAATATCTTCTCCCATTTGTTTCTACAATTATCTCATTTTGTGTGTAATACCATATGGGAAGGGAATGCTTGGTGGTGAGTGTAATATTAATGTCACTGGAATGGTTATATTCCCATTTTTCAAAGACTGCTTTCAGCATAGACAGGGAGTATCTTCAGTTGAGAATGATGGCATAAACTTATGAAAATAAGGAAGCTTATGGTTCAAAGATTTTCTTACCTTATTTAAATCTGAGACACAGTTCTGTGAAAGTACATTAAACTAATGGGTATGACTTCCTCTTTCAGAAAATAGACATTTCAGACCCATCAAAAATTATTCTTTATGATTATACTTCTTTATAGAGTTCCTGAGTTGGAGGTAGAAGAAGAAACTCAAGTTCAAGAAATGACCCTAGATGAGTGGAAAAATCTTCAAGAACAGACCAGACCAAAGCCTGAATTTAACATCCGGAAACCTGAGTCTACTGTCCCTTCCAAAGCAGTGGTGATACACAAGTCTAAATATAGAGATGATGTAAGCATGATCTTTTATATCTAGAGGTAATCTTCATTGTTACCTTATTGAAAACGAAATGGAACGTTAGTAGTTGACATTCTAGTTTCAACCTTATAGTAATCAGATGTGTCTGTTTCAACCTGGGAGTAACCATGCATGCCTAATTTTACTATATTTTTATTAACTGAAAAAAAATTGACCCTTTCAATACTTGATCCAAAGCAGTTATAGTGAGCACATTTTCTGCTCACTCCAGAGCTGTGTGAAGACTGTGATTATACTGTGTTTTAGTTGCATTTCAGTTTTGTGTCAAAAGAGAGATCTAGAATGTTTCCCTGAATGATGCCGTTTCGTAGGATAACTACTGGGCATTTTTGTGATTAGATTACCTTCAGTTATGATTCTTTCTTTTAAATTCAAGTATAGTTGATTTACAATATTTATATAGTTTCAGGTGTACAGAAAACTGATTCAATGTTATTTTTCATGGTTCTAATTCTTAATAGGCGTGTTTAACTGAAACTAGTTGATCACTTTAAACCAGTCAGAGTTGGGTGAATCCTTTCTTGTGATATTGCAGTAGCTTTGCTCCCTCTGCAGAAATTCAGGAGAGGACCCCTGAAGCCCCATGACAGGCACTGCTAGCATGGCCAGCTATCCATTTGGGATTGCGAACACATTCTTAAGATCTGATTTTACATGGTTTGTGTTCACCTATTTATTGGCAGCTTCAGCTTTGAAAATATCTTCCAGCATATATTGATAAGGCTGGTCAGAGAGTTATTCAATCACATTCTATTTGAATTCCTAAACTTAAGGGAGAGTACACTGAAGCATTGTAATTTTAAAATTTAGAGTTAGTATCGTTCAGTCACAGCTATTTATCTTGATACCAGTCTCTGAGTCAGTGATGGTGGTGAGTACTCTTCCTCTCTGCTTGATGTTATTCATTGATTTTCCATTTGAAAATCAGGAGTCTTATACTATGTAGATTTGTCTGTGTTCCCATTTACATTTTGGTTAGTTATATTCTTTTTATGAGTAGTTTCTCTAGGGGATCATTTATGATACTGGATTCCTTCCTATCTCCTCTTTCCATCAATCCAAACTCCGTGAGTCTATGTTTTGAGTTGTTCCTCTAGAAAAGGCTTTTTGTACACATACGAGGCCAGAGCCTTTTACAAGTCTATCAGCTAGTTGGGTTGGGGTTTTTTTTTCCTATCCACTTTCTTCTCTTGTAAATAAAGTTTTGCCTAAAACAACTGTGCTGTCAGGATTTGAAATGTGCAGCTGACATGTTAAGTAAAAATAGAAGCTGTTCTTCTTAATCCACACCAGATTCATCTTCCCTGGCTTCTGAGAGAGGTCTCCTGGAATCTTTGAAGCAACTGGGTTAGCTTAGTCATTGAGCTTGGTCTCAGTAAGGCACACATCTTTGTTACTTATTAACCTTACAGCTTTGATGATTTTAGCCAGGAATTGTTCTTAAAGAGACAGAAGCCAAATCTTGGTGTCGCTACTTTGTTCTGGATACCCTGAAGAGAACAAAAGCACTTGAATAATACCTCTTGTTTCCTTGGAGCTCTGTTCTTGGCAAAGTTAAGACCTAACAGTAGCCTATGAATAGAGCAGGCCCTTAAAGCACTTTGGCCTGACCGTTTGCTCACTCAACTTCCATTGCAAGCTGTGCCTTCTTACTGGAAGTCTGCTGTGTCTCTGTGGAGGTGCCTTGACAGCCAGTTGTTTTCTAAATCAGGCAGTAGTTTATTATTTTGCCTCTTACATTTTTTTGTATCTATCTTGTTACCAGAGTGCAAGTGTTCCTGAATTGTTCTTTCCTTCATCTTTTTAACTTCAAGAGTACATCTGCCTAAGGACACAAATGTTAAACACGAAGCCTGGAATAAACATATGGCCAAAAGGGAAATGCGTGCTCTGGGAAATTTGATTCCATTTGCTGGACAAGCATATGGATATTTAACCATATAACACTTTGGAGATTCTCATCCACAATCATTGGCCTATTTTCTGCAGGTTTATATTTCTCTGTAGGTTTATATTTTACTTACAAGTGAAAGCTTTTGTTTCATCCATTGTTAGGAATTGAAACCAAATCAAATTTTTAGATTTATTAATACAGTTTTAACAAGAGACAGAACTAATTTGACCTCTTAATTCATGTGTCCATGGGATTCTCCCGGCAAGAATGCTGGAGTGGGTTGCCATTTCTTTCTCCGGGGGATTTTTCCAACCCAGAAATTGAACCTGGGTCTCCTGAATTGCAGGCAGGTTCTTTACCAGCTGAGCTACTACAAGGGAAGCCCCATACAATAAAATGTATATTTTCAAAGAATTTTAACTAAGGTGGTTTTTAAAAAGCAGCCTGAGTTCTTTATTCAGCCTTGGAAGCAACCCTTAGATAATCATACTGTTGTGTTACTCGTTCCATATATTTTGAGTCAAAATTGTTTACTGTAAATCATCCAATTTTTAACATATGGTATTTGTACAGTCAGCACCCATGTTAAGAGCAGTTTCTCCATCAAGTTCTTTTCTAGGAAGGTGAATTTTCCTTATTTATCAAAGTAGCATTTGTGAACAAAATAAAAGGCAGGAACTAAAACTTTTCAATCTCAGCAAAATATACTTAGATATGTAACATTTATAGAATTTCTGTTAGTCATGTTAAATCTTACATCTTAACCTACTAAACTGATAGAAATTTGGTCTGACTTGAAGTAAATTCAAAAATGCTTGATTTAAGACTATGAGACTACTATGTATAAAGTAGATAACTATTAAGAACCTACTATATAGTTTAGGGAACTCTATTCAATACTCTGTGATGATCTGTATGGTGATAGAATCTTAAAAGAGTGGATTTAGCATTTATATAGCTAACTGGGGCTTTCCTGGTGGCTCAGCAGTACAGAATCCACCTGCACCGCAGGAGACACAGGTTCGATCCCTGGGTCAGGAAGATCCCCTGGAGAAGGACATGGCAACCCACTCCAGTGTTCTTGCCTGGAGAATCCCAAGGACAGAGGAGCCTGGTGGGCTACAGTTCATTGAGTTGGAGTCAGACACGAGTTAGTGCCTGAACAACAGCAATAGCTGACTGACTTTGTTGTTACAGCAGAAACTAACCCAGCACTATAAATCAGCTACTCCAATTAAATAAAAAAAAAGAAGGCCTGTCAGTATGAGAACGTGTGGCTGCAAAATGTGCAAAACCCATGCAGCTGGAAGCAGAACAGCAGCATCATCTTCCCCTGCTCAGGCCAGTGAGTGTCCATGGAGACGGCCATGTGTATGTTCTGTGTTTGATGCTGTAACTGTGTTTCAGATGGTAAAGGATGACTATGAAGATGATGCCCACGTTTTCCGGAAAGCGGCCAATGACATCACGTCCCAGCTGGAGATTAATTTTGGTAACCTCCCTCGTCCCGGGCGTGGAGCCAGAGGTGGCACACGGGGAGGCCGGGGAAGGATCAGAAGGGCAGAAAACTATGAACCCAGAGCAGAAGTGGTGGTAAGTGTGTATATTCTAAATCCTGGTTTTTTGAAGTGAGAGGATGAAGATGCCCTGAGCCTATAGAGTTTAATTTTGGAGGATCATCAAGTTCTGCCTGATCTAGATAGAGGATGTTCTTTCTCCTCTGTCTAGTGTGGGTCTCATGTTAGAGTGTTTGGAATGGTCATCAGCATGATGGGCATCAGTTGGATACAGACCATTGTGTAGCCCTGGTCTCCAGGGAAGTCTGTCTGCTACGATTGTACGCTCAGAGCTGGAGAAAAATTCACACATGTGCATCAGATGAGGTCCCCAGGCTCGGTATTGAATTAGATCAACTGACAGCTGCTTACTATGGTATAAGCAACCCTGTGCCTTGATGCTTTCACAGTAGACAGAATCCTTCCAAGAGCTTCGAGGCGACCTTTTCACGTCAAACCATTCTTTGCCACTCTTCAGCCAGCACTGCTCTACTTCTGGGACAGACAACCTTGTTCCTTACTCCATGGGGCCTTTCTGCCTGCTAGCCTCCCTCCCACCCCTTTGCCTGTTTACCTAGGATAGATCCTCTACCCTCCCTTCATCAAAGGAGGCTTTCAGACCAGGTCAGAGTCCTTCCTTTCTTTGAAGCACCATCTGCATTGGTAATTGTACTATCGCTGGTATAGTTGTTGAGCCGTATCTGCTGTCTCCAGAAGCCAGATTGGTTTCCCCAGTGCCTCGTATAATATAAGCTGTACTAGACTCTTCATCAGTGCTTTGTAAACAGATATACCAATACCTGTTTAGTGGGAATCGGGCACAAGGTTCGGTGGCCCGCAGAGGCACCATGCTGTCCTTGTGAGAATGGGGCAGCCTTTTCTCTGTGGCTGGTCTTGGAAATGTTCCTTTTGCTGCCTGAGTCCCTGATTCCTGGGAGGGGTCTAACTTGTTATACTTCAGTTAGAACGAAAACAAGTGTTTTTTCTGGGTAAACTTGAGGCCAGCTTGGAAAAAGGATCTCTCCTGTAAATATAAAATATATGCCTGCCCCTTCCAATAGCAGCTGTGCCGCCGTGGTGCAGTGTGGCTATCTGGTGCAAGGGGCCCTGCCGCCCACCTGGGCTCTTCCAGCTCTGCCCCACCCTCAGGCCCCACCCCCCTTCACAGTTGCATTGTGTCAGAATCCTGTTCTTTTTGCTCATTTATTGTGGTTATTTCCAGGAGAAGTTTCTCTGCTAGAAGACATCACTTAACTCTAACGTGTGCATGGCCACCACATTGCACTGGACGCCCTGACTGTGGGCCTCCATTCATCCCCAGGCCATCTGTTACTGAAGTTACCGTATGCTCCTCCTGCAGGAGCTCTGTGAGCTCCTGAGGGTAGGACTGTCTTTAATCATCCTTGTATCTCCATGTACAAAGGGTGAACAAAGGTGAACAAAGGGGCTAGATAAAGGGTCCAGGTGGTAAAGAACCCACCTGCCAATGCAGGAGTCTGAAAGATCCCCTGGAGGGAGGGCATGGCAATCCACTCTAGTATTCTTGCCTGGAGAATCCCATGGACAAAGGAGGCTGTTGGGCTACAGTCCATAGGGCTGCAGAGAGTCAGACACAACTGAAGTGACTTAGCATACATGCACGCAAGGTACAAGTGAAGGGTCACAGTAAGGATTTGTGGGCGTGGGGGAGGCAGGGTGGCAGGCACTGACAGCCACTCTGCAGCGGGGACAGAGCGGGTCAGAGGAGGGAGAAGCATGCTTCTGTTCCCCCCTCTGCAGGGTCTGAGCAGAACTTGGCTGCAGCTCAGAGCAGGGCCTCGCCTAGGGTGACCTGCCGCTCTTCTCTTTCCGCTGGGCCTGTGCCTCCCTCAGTAGGGCCACTCACCCCTACTGTTAGCTGCTCCCTGCGAGAGCAGGTGCTGTGTCTGACACACTTCTGCACCCAAGTGGGAACGGGTGAACTGACAGTTGGTTTTAAAACTTCTCTTTTTTAGATACAAGACGTTGCTCCAAACCCGGATGACCCTGAAGACTTCCCGGCTCTGGCCTGAGACAGCCCCATTTCCCTGGCAACTTGAACAGCACTGGCATACCTATGAAGAGACTTTTCTTGCTGTGGGGAAGAGAGTCAGACTCTAAGAACAATAGATGTTGCTTTTTCCCGTGTAGTTTGAACTCATTGCACTCTTTTTGGTCTGGGTGGTTTGTGGGAACAGGGATTCCTCCAGACACTAGACAGCAGCAGTTCTGGCTGGGGGTTAGTCTGGTACTTTCCCAGGAAGGTAGATAACAGTGATTATTTTTTTATTTAATGAATTCCAAATGTAGTTCAGAAATAATGTTTAAAATTTGTACATAGAGATTGTATTGAATCCTCCACAGAAGCATGGAGAGTAAAGCAAGTTGTAAAATAGAATCTATTGAGACTACTTAGTAAGTTGTATAGATACCAGAAGGCTGTGTCCTTCAGTATTAGAGGAAATACATATAACTCTGCTATTAATTTAAAGCAGTCACAGCCTAGTTTTCAGAGACCAAGAAATGAAAATACAGTTATATTTACCATTTACTTGTAAATGTTATATTCTCCTGGAATTTTTTTGGTTTTTTTATTTAACCAATAATTTTAAATAGCTACTGTGCAGTCAGAGGTTACCACTCTGTGGCAGAGAATTAGGGAAAGTATTGGGGTTTTTCCTGGTGATTTAAACTACCTCGTGGTTTCTGTGTGTATGTAACATACACATACACACATGCTTAGTATAAATGTGCATATTTAGTGTTTGGGTGGTTTTTAGGATGAGTATTAAGTATATGATCTTTAAAATCATGTTATTTAAGCCACCAATCAAATGAAAAGGGGTCCAGGGAAAAGAGTGTTGCAGATTTTCTCCCTCAAAGCTAGTGTCAGAATTCAGCACCTGTGTACAAAAGGCTGTCTGTCCCTGTCCTGGGCATGACTTGTAAATAATACTGAACACCTATATGCAGTTTTTCTCACTCGGCCCTGCACCAGTTCGAGTTCCTCTTTCTTGCCTTTGGAGCATGTTAGGATTAGGGGTTTCCTTGGAGGTTCAAGGAAACCCCACTAATCCGCAGGGCTGAGACCGGGAGGCCTATGGCGGTTCAGCTAGCTGCCTGTGGGTAGTGCCGTGATGGTGGCTGGGGCGGAGGCAGCTGTTAACAGCCCCGGAAGCTGCGGTGACACTCTTCCCATTTTACCGAAGAAACTGGGTAACAGTCACAAACTTGTTACACAGTTGATGTTTATGTTGGAATCTGAACCTTGGTCTCAGGATTTGTGCTTTTGTTTGCCTTGCTATACTGTCCAAGATGGCAGTTCTGAACTTGAACCCAAGTGTAAATAAAGGTTGGTATTCCCTCCTAACTTTGTGTATAGAGAGTTGAATCCTTTTGGTGACACCCAGGTCAAGAGGGAAGAACATGGGGAAAGACCACAGTGGAGTCATTTCACATTTTGTTGAATAATCAGAGCTGAACCCTTAGTCACATTAAGCCAGTGAGGTTGACAGCCTACTTTTGGATTCTTGTTATTAATCTGAGTGTTAAGGTCATCATTTTATTCCCCCTTCCCAGAATAAGACAGTGAACGTGAGTACCCTAATCTGAGTTAAGAAGTCTTGTGAGAGTAAATGTCATGTTCAGCCATGATAGTCAGCTGGTGCAGGCTTGAGCTGTCACGTTAAGTCATTCTGCCTTGCCTTGGCTTTGAAGATTGGCAAAACAGAGATCCCTTTCAAAATTCCCTTATTCCCTTTAGAGTCATGAATAACACTTGCAAAGCCCATTGTGCTGGATTTCATGTTGCATATGCAAACACTGCATCCTTCCCAAAGAGACTGAGGATTCCTGTACCACGGAGCAGTCTCAGATCTCATGGTCAGAAAAAGTTTAGTGAGGGGATAGGGGATGGTTTCTGGGCCTGCAGAGGTTTTCATTTGCTCACCAGGAATACCTCTCACCAATTTGGTGGGTCAGATGAATGTCAGGCTTTTGTCATATGACTGTCCACAGTCCAGCCCCAGAGAAGACAGGGCAGAGCATAGGGCATCACATCCATAATGTGATGTAGGGAAACTCAGGAGGCAGGATTGAGTTTGGAGCTATTCACAAGGCAAGGCCTTCCAGAGGAGTTTCCACCGCACAACTCCCTTGAGGTGATTTGGTATAGACATGTTGTCATGAGGCGGGACACGTTTCTGGCTGATAACTTTAATACTAAGCAAATTAACCCCGTCGAAGAAAACTTGTGAGCCTAACAAACCCTTTTAGAAATGGAGAGCAAGCATATTTGAATTCCCAAGGCAGGTGTGCCAGCCCCAAGCCTTCACCCAGGAGCTCAGTGCAGGGGCTCTGGCTGCCAGAGCAGGAGCTAGAGATGAGCTGGTCCCTGGACCTGCAACCAGGAGAGCCTCATCAGTAGAGAGGTGTGAACCCAGATAGGATGAGGGTTTGGTCCCTGCTTTGACCAGATGAAAACCTGACAATCTGGGAAGAAGCGGAGTCACTGCAAAAGCTGCTGCTGGCTGGGAACCTGGTGCTGGATGGTCTGAACGTCTAGCCAGGCTACTGTGAAAAATACATCTTTAGCCCAGTGTTACTGATGAACAGTTGACATTTTCATCTCATGCAAGGCTGGCCCCTCACAGAAGCCGTAGCAGGCACCCCATTTTCTAGTGCTGGGTTCTAGTGGATGCCCTGTCCTCCCCTATTCCCTGGCTCCTCCATGCCAGCCCAGGGCTTAGGCGTTTCATGGATGACGGCATTGCTTCTCCTTTGAAACCACACGATGTGTGGTGTTGGCAAGTCCTAGGGAAGAGCAGGACCCAGGTCTCAGAAGCCGGGAGAGGTCAGCCCTTGAAGGGAAAACAGGACTGCTACCTACTAACCTATCCAGGAGAGAGCCACGCTGTCAAAAGAGGGTGGGGAGACCAGAGCATGAGCCCAGCAGGACAGCAGAGGTTCATTTTGAGGAAAAAATGTGCCACTTTCCTTTTACTCTGCTGCTGTTGTCCTCAGCACCCAGAGAAGACAGGGCAGTCGGGATCACATTCCAGGACCCTGCCGCCTCCCCTCCACATCCTCCCGACACTGGCCTGAAGTGAGGCGCTCGGGCAGCCAGCGACACTGCCCGCAGCATGTCCCAGGTGTGGAGGCTGTTCGTATTTGTGTAATAAAGTGAGTGAGAAAGAAGAAAGCAAGTTATTGCAAAGAAATCTTTATTGTTAAATACAACACAAAAGTGCAAAACTTTATTGTAACCACTACCTAAGTCAAGGAACCTATTTCTCCAGGAGGCTGTCCATGTGACCCTGCCAATCACAGCCAGCCCTCCTTCGGAAAGGAGTACTATCCTCACTTAGAGGAAGCACTGCCCAAGGAGGCAAACCTTAGCGATAAGGCTCTGCCCTTTACCTGAATGTCCTTTAAGTCTGAAGGGTCCCCCTCTACCTTTGTTGCAGAACCTGGGTAACATGAAGAAATGAGCATTTCTTGAGTAACTGCTGTGTGCTGTCTTATAATTGTCTCATGACTTGTCAGGGAACAGGAAGAGACATCCATCTTCCATGCTCCCTAGCTAGTATTTGGGCGGAATGGGATGAAAAGATGAAGGAGAAAGAAGACTCCGTCCCCAAGCTGTGTTCTTTCTACACACCCTTGAGATTTCCAGTTCATGTTACTAGTCCCTTGGGCAAAGCTGCTGAGAGGGTCAGGAAAGGCCAGAAGATACATGTGCCTCTGTGGGAGCCAGAGGACCACATGGGGTATGCGCTGTGCTGAGCTATCCCTGGGGTGAGGTGGTGCCCACGGCAATGCTGCACTGTGACACATTCTCCTAAAAGCATCTGAAGTACTCTTGGAAAGCTTTGGGGCTTCCCAGGTGGGGCTAGGGGTAAAGAATCCGTCTGCCAGCGCAGGAGACGTAAGAGACGTGGGTTCCACCCCTGAGTCAGGAAGATCCCCTGGAGGAGGGCATGGCAACCCACTCCAGTATTCTTGCCTGGAGAATCCCATGGACAGAAGAGTCTGGCGGGCTATAGTCTATCGGGTTGCGAAGGGTTGGACATAACTGAAGCAACTTAGCACGCATGTAGAAAGCTTTAATAGGTCTCCTGCACAGGTGGTGATGGCAAGTCGTGGGAGGGCACGAGACTAGGTTCAAGGCTGCTGGCACGGTGCTGGCGGAGACAGGGGCAGAAGCTTGGCTCTCCCAGAGGCCTCATGGAGCCTAAAGTCCTAAGTGCTCCAGGAGCCTCTGCTGGCCCAGGCCACCTCTGCCCATCTCCTGTTGCTCTGGGAGAGCCTTTTCCTTGGCCATAGGTTTCCCAGGACCCAAGGCAGTAGGACTTTCCCCAACCAAACCACAAATGCTTTCTAAACTATCACAGCTTCACCACGCGTGAAACTGGCCCCATAGTGTGGGGAGAGCACCAACTGCCTTGTTTCTTTGCAAAAATGTGGCCCCATTTCAGAAGGCTGACTTGCGAGCATCGTTGGGGAACACCTATCATGAGAATAGAGTGGCATCAATTTACACATAGGAAAAGGCCAGCTCTCATTCCAATCCCAAAGAAAGGCAATGCCAAAGAATGCTCAAACTACCGCACAACTGCACTCATCTCACACGCTAGCAAAGTAATGCTCAAAATTCTCCAAGCCAGGCTTCAGCAGTACATGAACCAAGAACATCCAGATTTTCAAGCTGGATTCAGAGAAGGCAGGGGAACCAGAGATCAAACTGCCAACATCCACTGGATCATAGGAAAAGCAAGAGAATTCCAGAAAAACATCTGCTTCATTGACTAAGCTAAAGCTTTTGATTGTGAGGATCACAACAAACTGGAAATTCTTAAAGAGAGGGGAATACCAGGCCACCTGACCTGCCTCCTGAGAAACCTGGAAGCAGGTCAAGAAGCAATAGTTAGAACTGGACATGGAACAATGGACTGGTTTCAAATTGGGAAAGGAGTATGTCAAGGCTGTATATTGTCACCTTGCTTATTTAACTTATATGCAGAGTACATCACGAGAAATGCTGGGCTGGATGAATTTGAACTGTGGTGTTGGAGAAGACTCTTGAGAGTCCCTTGGACTGCAAGGAGATCCAACCAGTCCATCCTAAAGGAAATCAGTCTTGAATATTCGTTGGAGGGACTGGTGCTGAAGTTGAAATTCCAATACTTTGACCACCTGATATGAAGAACTAACTCACTGGAAAAGACCCTGATGGTGGGAAAGATAGAAGGCAAAGACAGAGGATGAGATGGTTGGATGGCATCACAGACTCGATGGACATGAGTTTGAGCAGGCTCCCAGAGATGGTGAAGGACAGGGAAGCCTGGTGTGCTGCTGCTGTCCCATGGGGTCACAAAGAGTCGGACATGACTGAGCAACTGAACTGAACTTACACATAAGTCCCTCGGGTTTCTGAGAGTTCTCGAAAAAGAGGAAGAGTATTTTCTCCAGCATAGCCACCCTGCCAGAGGCACTGAGGATAGCTCCAGTCAGGGGTGTACACAACCCAGCCCCAGGGAACCTCACTCACCTTGATGAACCACCTGCATAGATGTGCTGGTGGCTCTGGTCTGCACTTCACCCACCCCCTCAGATAGGAGAGCAGCATTAGAGCAACCGAGAGGAAGACAATATGCCTGAGGTAAGTCCTACATTCTTGGCAGCGCAAAACGATCAGAAGGAGAGTGTTCTGGTGAGAAGGGAAAGTGAGAGTGAAAGTGAGCAGGGCGGCCAAAGAAATGTTCAGTGAGAGGGGAAGGATGCTGGGGAGAAAGGATGCAGGAGAAATGCAGAAGCCAGGTGGCCCAGCAAAGAACGTGGAAACCCAGGGTCCTGTGACTAGGGTGGGAAGACCTCTGTCAGGGATTGTCACCGAGGATCCCGAAGGCCCAGAACAGGTCTTTGAATGACTGGAGAACAGGCTTCTTCAGGGCACACGTCTAGGCGGTACCCTTCAGTGCACCTGTGTGACCGGCACCCTTGCAGTTGGATGACGCTCAGCCAGTGATGCCATGGAGGGCTTGTCTACGAAGTCTTCAAAATCTTGTGTTTGAGGGAGACGGAGGAATCCACTCCCATCAGATAGTCACAAGGAGTCTTATATTAGACTCCTATCTACTTGGAATTGCACCACTACCTCAGAGGGGGTGCCAGCCTGGTCCTGCTCCCAACCCAGCCATCCAGGTAGCCTACAGGAAGTCCCAGCTCTGGCTTTGGGCTGAGATCTCAATACCCAGGGAAAGAATGAGACAAAAACTCCTATGCTACGAGGCTGAGGCGTGGGCCTGAGGAAACAGGTTTAAATTGCATATTGAGAAAATTTCCGATGGTAAGCGCTGTGCTGTCCAGGGG